CAGCCGTCCATTCAGTTGCAGACTGATATTTCATCTAGCGAAGAGCAGGAGCGGTTAAATGAAGCAACAAGCGCAGACTTGGCAAACGGTTCTGAAGTAATGGTGGGTGAAATGGAAAAAAGACGGGAGGAAACGGAGCAGTCGACGAAAAATCACACACCGCAATCACCTTCTGATAATCCGGACTGCGCTGTTTTCCCTATCCCAGTGCTCGTTTCTCGCGGAATAAGAACGAAAGCGGAGCAATCAGTCTTTGACATTGGTGGTCAAAAGAATGCAAATAACGCAATAACCGACGCCTCCGTAAATTTTTGTGAAGTGGAAAAAACATCGAAAGAACAGGGAGAAGTGGAGCGGCCACAGTCGTCGAGTCGAAGAGCAAGGTCACTGTTTAATGTTCTGGACAATGCTGACTCTGCATTTTCTGTTTTAGGATCGTACTCTTGCTGTGGAATTAAAGTTAGCACTGATCAGCCGATGAATGAAGATAATGGCAAGAAGATGCTGGATGGAACAATAGTGAACGTCCCTGGAACATGTTATGAAATGCCGAAAAGGGCGGAAATGCAATGGCAGATGAAGGTAGGAGCTGAAGAACAGGGAGAAGTAAAGAAAAGTATGAACGAGTGGTCGAAACCGCATCAAAGTGTGTCACTGTTTAAAGTTCTGGGTAGCGCCGGCTTAGCTTTCCCATCTTCGGAATTGTTTTCTCATTATGAAGTGGAAATGGAGGCTGAGCGGCTTGCAGGTAATGAGCAGATGAAGCAGCATGAAGAAGCAGCACGCGATGTAGTTGAAGGAAATCGAGAAATGGAGGACTGTGCGGAAGAGCGAAGCAAAATGGCGAAACAGTCAGAGTCAAATAAGCCACCAAAATCATTGGTCTCCGAGAGTAGTTGTTCGAATTTATCCACTTCAGAGCTGTATTATTGCCACGGAAGCGAAACGGAATGCGAGCAGCGACCACTGAATGGAGATAGCCAGAGCGAGCCGAGCTCGGATTCTGCAAATGAATTATGGTTAGCGATGTGTTTGCCACGAACTGAAGCCGTGAAGGTACCACCGGTCGAGCCATCGTCACCTAGTCTTGATCCGTTTAGGATGGATCATGCCGAGACTGAATCGAACCTGGAAGCCGAGCAACAGGATTTTTCAGTCGCCTCGTCACTTTCATCAGCAACGTCTCCTGTTTCAATATATTCCTTCAGTTCCACTCCGAAAACATTTCCTTCGCCGCGTATTCCACCACTTTCTGCTTCCGATGACCATAAACTGTATTCGATTGCTCTTAGCAACGGCAGTTCCATGGAAACTCCACTGTCCGAAGAGATAACACTAGCTGCTGCTGCTGCAAATCACTGTGTCAGCGCAACAGCGACCGGAGATGTGCAGGAGAAGGCGATG